ATTTGGCATGGGACCTCAGATCCTCAAAAAGTTCTACAGCTGCATTATCGAGAGCATCCTGACTGGTTCCATCACCGTTTGGTATGGCAACTGTTCGGCATCCATCCTCAATACGCTACAGAGGGTAGTGCGTACGGCCCAGTACATCACTGGGGCCAAGCTTCCTGCTATCAAAGACCTCTATAGCATGCGGTGTCAGAGGAAGGCCCTAAAAATTGTCAAAGACTCCAGCCACCCAAGTCATAGACTGTTCTCTATGCTACAACATGGCAAGCGGTACTGGAACGCCAGGTCTGGGACCAAAAGGCTCCTTAATAGCTTCTAAGCCATAAGACTGCTGAACAGTTAATCAAATGGCTACCCGGACTATTTGCATTGACCCCCTTATTTTATTTAAAAAAAATTCTACTGACTCTCTTGCACAGGCTTGATGTACACTCACTGGACTCTATCAATCAATCAATCAATTTTATTTTATATAGCCCTTCTTACATCAGCTAATATCTCGAAGTGCTGTACTCTAACCACACACTCACACATGCTACACTGACACTCCAACACACATACAAAACACACAAATGCATATTGACGCCACACGCACACACACACATTCACACTCTTCACATACGCTGCTGCTACTTTCTGTTTATTATCTATGCATAGTCACTTTACCCCTACCTACATGAACATATTACCTCAATTACCTCGACTAACCCGTACCCCTGCACATTGACCCGGTACCCCTTGTATATAATCTCGTTATTGTTATTTTATTGTGTTACTATTTTTCCTTTATTTACCAAATGTTTCTTACTTACAGTGCATTCGGAAAGTATTCAGACCCCTTCCCTTTTTCCACATTTTGTTACGTTACAGCCTTATTCTAAAATTGATTTTAAAAAAGTATCATCAATCTACACACAATACCCCATAATGACAAAGCAATAACAGGTTTTTAGAATTGTTGCACATGTAAAAAAAAATGTAAAACAGAAATACCTTATTTACATAAGTATTCAGACTCTTTGCTATGAGACTCGAAATTGAGCTCAGGTGCATCATGTTTCCATTGATCATCCTTGAGATATTTCTACAACTTCATTGGAGTCCACCTGTGGTAAATTCAATTGATTGGACATGATTTGGAAAGGCACACACCTGTCTATATAAGGTCCCACAGTTGACAGTGCAAGTCAGAACAAAACCCAATCCATGAGAGAATTGTAGAGCTCAGAGACAGGATTGTGTCGAGGCACATATCTGTGGAAGGGTACCAAAACATTTCTGCAGCATTGAAGGTCCCCAAGAACACACTGGCCTCCATCATTCTTAAATGGAAGAAGTTTGGAACCACCAAGACTCTTCCTAGAGCTGGCCGCCCGGCGAAACTGAGCAATCGGGGGAGAAGGACAAGGGAGGTGACCAAGAACCTGATGGTCACTCTGACAGAGCTTGAGAGTTCCTCTGTGGAGATGAAAGAACCTTCCAGAAGGACAACCATCTCTGCAGCACTTCACTAATCAGGCCTTTATGGTAGAGTGGCCTGATGGAAGCCACTCCTCAGTAAAAGACACACTACAGCCCGCTTGGAGTTTGCCAAAATGCACCTAAAGGACTCTCAGACCATGAGAAACAAGATTCTCTGGTCTGATGAAACCAAGATTGAACTCTTTGGCCTGAATGCCAAGCGTCAGGTCTGGACGAAACCTGGCACCATCCCTACGGTGAAGCATGGTGGTGGCAGCATCATGCTGTGGGGATGTTTTCCAGCGGCAGGGACTGCGAGACTAGTCAGGATCGAGGAATAGATTAACGGAGCAAAGTACAGAGAGATCCTTGATGAAAACCTGCTCCAGAGTGCACAGGACCTCAGACTGGTGCAAAGGACAACAACCCCTAGCACACAGCCAAGAAAATGCAGGAGTGGCTTCGGGACAAGTCTCTGAATGTCCTTGAGTGGCCCAGCCAGACACCAGACTTGAACCTGATCGAACATCTCTGGAGAGACCTGAAAATAGCTGTGCAGTGATGCTCCCCATCCAACCTGACAGAGCTTGAGAGGATCTGCAGAGAAGAATGGGAGAAACTCCCCAAATACAGATGCGCCAAGCTTTTAGCACCATACCCAAAAAGACTCGAGGCTGTAATCGCTGCCAAAGGTGCTTCAACAAAGTACTGAGTAAAGGGTCAGAATAATTATGTCAATGTGTTAATTCCGGGGGGTTTGAATAAATTTGTAACGTAACAAAATGTGGAAAAAGTCAAGGGGTCTGAATACTTTTCAAAATTTCTTAAAACTCTGCATTGTTGGTTAAGGGCCCGTAAGCAAGGATTTTACGGTATAGTCTACACCTGTTGTATTCAGTGCATGTGACAAATACAATTTGATTTGACACTCCTGCCCCCAATTGCAGCCCCAACCCTGCAACAGGAGAAACACCAAGGCCTCCTGTGAACACCCAGAATGGAGCATTGGCAGCCACTCCGGTCCCCTGCAGCAGCTCCACTCCTTGGTGGAAGCTTAATCCGGGTGGACTGAGCTCTGCCAACACTGCTCTCCCAGTTCCCGCCCCAGTCCCTGCATCCAGCGACTTGAGGGAGGTCTGTCAAATGTTCAGTCTGCTCTGCTCTCATGTGGTTGGCCAGTGACTTTCGCAAAGTCTCTGCTCACTCACCAAATAGCTACAGATGACCCTATGCCTGTTAGCGCTTATGGGAATGAGCTGAATACCCCCTCTTACTTTAAATCTCGTAGGAGGCTTGGGCTAATGCACCTAAATGTGCGAAGTATGATTTCAAAAATTTACACAATTGACTGGGTCCAGGACTCGTGTCCTAACATTCTGGTTCTCTTGGAAACATGGTTAAATGGTCTAGTGGAGTATTTGCATATGATCTCAGTGATCATTGTCCCATAGTATGTATTACAGCAAAATACTAATCTTCATTTAAGTAAGAAGATACATTTTTTAAAGTTTTTACATGACATGTTCTACTCTGATTTAGCCACTGTCTCCTGTATTCCTGACCCTGAGTTGGCTCTAGAAAATGTATCCTCCATATTTATTCCTCTGGCAGATAAACAGACCCCTTTTAAACAATTCAGAGTCAAAAATAGATCTAACCCTTGATTTTCTTCAGAGCTATCTGAGTTCATTCAGATGAGACAGATGAAAAATCAGGGCTTTCTAAGCTCTATATCTAACTCTGCTGGTGATCCTTCTAAATTTGGGGAAACAGTAAATGCACCGAAGCGTACAAATTCCTCTTCTTCCCTGCCTAAGAATGTTCTGTCTGACTATGGCATCATAACTGAGAAGAATGGAATAAGTGATGCTGTCCATCATAATTTTATCATCTCGGCAGGCTTTTTATTTGAGAGAAACGGTGGTTTAATTGACCCTGGTCTGTAAATCGACTTCCCTCTGCCAGCCTGTAGCTGACTCAATAGTAAACCCGTCAACTTCTAGTGAAGCTTTGTTTTCATTTCAAGATGCCTTGCTTAAGATTTATGTTTTAAAAAAGCTGGAGCTGATATGCTTGATCCATTTTTGCTGCAGCTCTCTGCCTGTTGGTTGGCCCTATTTGATGTCACGTATGTTGATACATTGCTATGTTTTCATTTATAAAGCCCTTTTACAAAAAGACCCACTGTACCTAACATCATTACTAAACTTTAGACATATGAGTTACCACACCCGGTCTCAGGGATGGCTAACTCTGGAAATTCCTTAGGTCTCTACTGAGTTAGATAAATCAGATTTTAGTTTTCTTGCACCTTATTTGTGGAACCATCTTCAAAATGTTCTTAAATTTGATGTTTTGGTGCCTGTAGGGAAATTCAGAAAGCTAATTGAGGACCTTTTTTTACTGATGACCGTGTTTTTCTTATATATATATATGTATTATGTGTGTATTTTCTGTAATATAAGTAATTCAGGGCTCATCCGTAAAAGAGACCTTGGTCTCAGTATGATTCCCTGATTAAATAAAGGTTAAATAAATAAAACAATTTTTTTGTGTATTGATACACAGATAACTGACAGCATGGCACGCATGGTGTCTTCTCCTTTCCCCCCTCTCTTCCCCCTTATGTAAGAGGATCAATTACTAAAGGCCAGACCCCTCTGGACCCAAATATGTCTCTCTCTCTCCCTCCCTTCCTTCCTTCCTCTGCACTTTAACTCTCTCTGCTTTCTCTCCCTCTCTCCCTCTCTCGCTCCACCCTCCCCTCTCTCACCCACTGTTCACCACACACCATGCCCTCTCCAGGAGCCCCCAGTACCATCCGCTCCGTCCCTTGCAGCCTCTAACCTCCTACTGCAGTGCCAGCTGCAGTAACGCTACCCCCTGCCTATACCCCCTGCCCAGCCCAGCCCACTGCCCTGCATCTCAGTAGTCTAAAGTGGCCTCCTCGTCTCTTCTCCTCTGCTTTATCTGCACTGAGATTAATATACAGGCTCGGGAGAGCAATATGTCGGAGAGAGTGTGAGGGTGTAGGTGTGAAGCCAAAGCTGGCTTTCTCAATAGTCCTTAAACAGGATAGTTAATCTGTCTGTGTGCTTGATTGATTCATAGGCTCCCTCTGGGTTAGTGTTGTGACACAAAAAGCTTCCCTCCATCAACCCAGTGCCTTGTTAAATAAGGGTTGTGATTAAAAACGCTTTGCGGACCCTTTTGTTACCCCCATCAAGGCAGGACAGGGAGCTGCCATTTGTTACGTGTAGCAGGGATGTTAGAGCGTGTTGCTCAGGCCTATATCGTCCAGTATGAATAGAGTAAGCAATGATTAGTGAACTAACAAAGGAGGAACCTTTCACGTGGGAATTTGATATAGCATGTGATGCGGTTGGTGCACAGAAACCATTTTGGACCAGAATGCACCTGTTAGTTGTTTGTTGTACTTGTTTGTAGAGGTTATAAAAGAGTTGAAAGAGAAAAAGAAAGACAGAAAGAGAGAGAGAAAGAAAAATAACAATCGACCATTGAGGCCTTACCTGCAGTATGAGTATAAAGTAGTCGACAGCCTTCCCTCTCTGGTAGACATAGTGTTGAGGACAGCGTTTGTCACTGTCATTAAACTTGATCTCCTGGATCACGTCTGGGTGTCTTAGAATCCTCAACAGAACCTTGTCTGAGATCTGGGACGGGCTGAACAACATCACCTCTGGATGAGACAGGAAGATAAATATATTGTACATACAATATGTAACATACGTATACTGTACATATATGAGATCTGGGACGGGCTGAACAACCTCTGGATGGGAGAGAGACATACAGTATATTCTACATATATTATAGACACAGACATATATGAGGCTCTGGTTTGTCACGGCTATATATTGAATTGAAATGATCCAATGATAAAGTAGCCAACAATACGCTGCTTGTCTTTAGTGGTGATGACATGATGTCAGCAACATCACAGAGACATAGAAACCGAGAGAGCGAAGCAACAGAAAGAGAGGGGACAGGAGAATGAAACAGCGTGAGAGAGTGGTGAGATAGACTGATATACAGTAGATATTGAAACAATCCCAGTAGTGACAAAAAGAAAAGACAACGAGACTTGTAGAGGCAGACACAGACAGGCATGCTGTAACACTGCTCTGTCTGTTGTTTTAGAGAAAGAGGGAACTGCAACAGCTTTCTGGCTCCAGCTGACAGCACGCTACAACAAACCACATGACTAGTGGTGCTGGCAACAGCTTGTGTTACATAGATTACTACAAGTGAATCATTTATGTAATTACATTTAAACAGGTTTGAGAATGTTTCATTTTTACTATGAATGTTTAATACCTGCAGGAATTGAAACCATAACCTTGAGTCGTCACCGTATCTTAACAACTGAGAATCACATATTGTGCTATATGGTAATTGTATAGTGTATGTGAGTGTTTTGCGTTGTATGGTGTGGTTGGGAGGTTGATTGTCCCAACATGTCATTATTTTGGTTGGGGGGCAGGGTCACGTTCTAACCTGTAGCCAGGAAGCGGTGGGCGGCCAATAGCAGCTGAGGGGAGATCTTTACTTTGGATTCGCTCTCGCTCTGTTTGAAGGCGGAGAAGTTCCTCTTGTTTTTATTGGGTGCCACCTTCTTCCTGTTTCTGCTGTTGTCAGCTGGGAGGGAGAGAGACAACACAAAGGACTGGTCAGAATCAGAGATACATCATTATGTCTTACGTAAAACCAATAACAGCTTTTTCTAATACCCTTTTCACACTATCCAACCTGAACCTTACTGAACCATACTGTGCTGACAATTCACATTGTCCATTCCAGCATGGTGGATGCATAAGCAGGTGAGCAAAGCACAGCTCAGCTTGGTTTGGTTTGGCTCAGTAGTGTGAAAAGGGTATAGCTTGTATCTATTAATTCAGTGGAAGTAATAAATGTGTTACAGGCTCATATGCCATAAGTGAAGATGTAATAAATGTGTTATAAGCGTGTTAAAAACATGTTATAGACTCACTGTAGAGGTCCGACTCATCCAAGATCTCTGATTTGATGATCTCCTCGATGACGTCTTCCAGGGTGATCAATCCCAGCACCTCGTAGAACGGATCCCCCTCCCCCTCGCTGTTCACCTTCTGAACGATGGCCAGGTGGGACTTACCTGGAGAGAGAGAGAGAGGAGAGAGAGAGAGAGAGAGAGAGAGAGAGAGAGAGAGAGAGAGAGAGAGAGAGGAGAGAGAGAGAGAGAGAGAGAGAGAGAGAGAGAGAGAGAGAGAGAGAGAGAGAGAGAGAGAGAGAGAGAGAGAGAGAGAGAGAGAGGGTTATGAGTTTATCAATACTACAGGCCAAAGTTAATGTCCATGGAATGTTAGAGCCATACGTGAGTTTGTCACTGCCTCCAAGACAGACTTCTAGTCACCAATATCCTGATTAAAATCTCATTATTGGCCAACAAGTTACTGCTAAAGGGCCAGTATGACTGCATTAAAACAACTACCCACCCAGTTCCGATTTTATCCACACACTCCTCTGCTTACCCTGCTTGGATCGCTGACAAGATGTTGATGTGTATCAGTGTCTGTCATTAAGACTGTCTGTAGCTGGAATTTGGCCACAGTCACTCTGTTACTGTTCAACAAACACAACCTAACACAGTGGTATTCAAATACCCCTAGTGGGGTCACGGGGGAACTGCAGCAGTGTAGCCCAAATGTTTTAGGAACAAAAAATTAACAGTAAAGATTATTGTATGGGACATTTTACAAACGTTTTTGAGAAAGATCATTTGAAAGATACAATTTCATTGAGTAAATGTATTTGTTTGTTTCTTTTCGTTTTGATACATTTTTGATACATACATTTCCATTGAAATTAGCAAAATAGCATTTTTAGCAAAAAACTACTTCTCAAGCAATAGTTTTGTTAGGACTGTCTGGGAATGGTCCGATTTGGGAGGGGAAAACTGAAAATGAGCTGTTATTGGCAGAGAGGTTAGTCACTCTCTTTGTTATAGTCACTCTCTTTGTGATGTCACCATAGAAAACTGAAACTCCCGCCAATACAAACAAGCTAATTAGAAGGTCCTGTGTAGATTACATTTTCAACCAGCAACTACATTACATGACCAAAAGTATGTGGACACCTGCTCGCCGAACAACTAATTCCAAAATCATGGGCTTTAATATGGAGTTGGTCCCCCTTTTGCTGCTATAACATCCTCCACTCTTCTGGGAAGGCTTTACACTAGATGTTGGAACATTGCTGCAGGGACTTGCTTCCATTCAGCCACAAGAGCATTAGTGAGGTCGGGCACTGATGTTGGGCGATTAGGCCTGGCTCGCAGTCGGCGTTCCAATTCTTCCCAAAGGTGTTCAATGGGGTTGAGGTCAAGGCTCTGTGCAGGCCAGTCAAGTTCTTCCACACTGATCTCGACAAACCATTTCTGTGTGGACCTCGCTTTGTGCACGGAGGCACTGTCATGCTGGAACAGGAAACGGCATTCCTCGAACTGTTGCCACAAAGTTGGAAGCACAGAATCATCTAGAATGTCATTGTATGCTGTAGCGTTAAGATTTCCCTTTACTGGAACTAAGGGGCCTAGCCAGAACCATGAGAAACAGCCCCAGACCATTATTCCTCCTCCACCAAACTTTACAGTTGGCACTATGCATTGGGGCAGGTAGCGTTTGTCTGACATCTGCCAAACCCAGATTTGTCCATCGGACTGCCAGATGGTGAATCGTGGTTCATAACTCCAGAGAACGCATTTCCACTGCTTCAGATTCCAATGGCAGCAAGCTTTACACCACTCCAGCCGACGCTTGGCATTGTGCATGGTGGAAACCCATTTCAAGAAGCTCCCAACGAACAGTTATTGTGCTGACGTTGCTCCCAGAGGCAGTTTGGAACTCGGAAGTGAGTGTTGCAACCGAGGACAGACGATTTTTACACGCTATGGGCTTCAGTACTCGGCGGTCCCATTCTGTGAGCTTGTGTGGCCTACCACTTTGCGGCTGAGCTGTTGTTGCTCCTAGACGTTTCCACTTCACAATAATAGCACTTACAGTTGACCGTGGCAGCTCTAGCAAGGCAGAAATTTGACGAACTGACGGTGCCACGTTGAAAGTCACTGAGCTCTTCAGTAAGGCCATTCTACTGCCAGTGTTTGTCCATGAAGATTGCATGGTTGTGTGCTCGATTTTATATACCTGTCAGCAACGAGTGTGGCTGAAATAGCCGAATCCACTAATTTGAAGGGGTGCACAATATGATAGAAAACACAGGAAAAACATCATTCTGACTGCACTGGGCCATTAACTCATCAATATGCTTTTAAAAGACAGCTTATCGTCTATTCAAATGCCCAGATATTTGTAAGTAGGGACACAATCAATTTGGGCACACACAAGACAGAATAAAAGACAGACATGGGTCTAAACATAGGCTGTACCACACACACTCTCTCTCTCACACAAAATACAACAACCACAAACACACTAACAAACACACACACGTACACACACACACCTTCTTTAGTCATCTGCCTGGGAGCCTTGTTATCTGAACAAGAGACCTGTCCTTGTCCAAACTAATGGATCTGTTCAACTGTCATGCTTTTCCAGACCCAGACAGTCTCTCAGGTCATAGCCTAGTAGTCTGACTTTGAAATCTTCTCAAAGAATATCTAGGATACGCCTAGTTACAAGGCTATACTGTACGTTCTATTCTGAAGTAGACTGAAATGGGGTGGCAGGTAGCCTAGCGGTTAAGGGCGTTGGGCCAGTAACTGAAAGGTTGCTGGTTTGAATCCCTGAGCTGACTAGGTGAAAAATCTGTCGATGTGTCCTTGAGCAAGGCACTTAAACCTAATTGCTCTTGTAAGTCACTCTGGATAAGAGCGTCTGCAAAATGACAACTGAGGAAGTACAAGCGGCAGAACAAGTCATTTTGCTGACCTACGGCTTCCTGAGACTTTGTGAACATTAGCTGGGGTCTGATAGTCACTGTCACTAGCCGACAACCACCCGGTTACTCATCCCTGCACCATAGAGTCTGCTGTCCTATGTACATACACATGGAACAATGGTCACATTAATAATGTTTACATACAGTTTTACCAATGTCATATGTACTATATATACTATATTCTAGTCAAGGCCATCCTATTCAACTATTGCTGTACATATACTATTCTATTCACGTATTCTTCAAATATACTACATATTCTATCCACATACATGTCCATAATGTCTATACATCCCATCCCATCACACACATACACTGCTCAAAAAAATAAAGGGAACACTTAAACAACGCAATGTAACTCCAAGTCAATCACACTTCTGTGAAATCAAAGCAACACTGATTGACAATACATTTCACATGCTGTTGTGCAAATGGAACAGACAACAGGTGGAAATTATTGGCAATTAGCAAGACACCCCCAATAAAGAAGTGGTTCTGCAGGTGGTGACCACAGACCACTTCTCAGTTCCTATGCTTCCTGGCTGATGTTTTGGTCACTTTTGAATGCTGGCGGTGCTTTCACTCTAGTGGTAGCATGAGACGGAGACTACAACCCACACAAGTGGCTCAGGTAGTGCAGCTCATCCAGGATGGCACATCAATGCGAGCTGTGGCAAGAAGGTTTGCTGTGTCTGTCAGCGTAGTGTCCAGAGCATGGAGGCGCTACCAGGAGACAGGCCAGTACATCATGAGATGTGGAGGAGGCCGTAGGAGGGCATCAACCCAGCAGCAGGACCGCTACCTCCGCCTTTGTGCAAGGAGGAGTAGGAGGAGCACTGCCAGAGCCCTGCAAAATGACCTCCAGCAGGCCACAAATGTGCATGTGTCTGCTCAAACGGTCAGAAACAGACTCCATGAGGGTGGTATGAGGGCCCGACGTCCACAGGTGGGGGTTGTGCTTACAGCCCAACACCGTGCAGGACGTTTGGCATTTGCCAGAGAACACCAAGATTGGCAAATTCGCCACTGGCGCCCTGTGCTCTTCACAGATGAAAGCAGGTTCACACTGAGAACATGTGACAGACGTGACAGAGTCTGGAGACGCCGTGGAGAACGTTCTGCTGCCTGCAACATCCTCCAGCATGACCGGTTTGGCGGTGGGTCAGTCATGGTGTGGGGTGGAATTTCTTTGGGGGGCCGCACAGCCCTCCATGTGCTCGCCAGAGGTAGCCTGACTGCCATTAGGTACCGAGATGAGATCCTCAGACCCCTTGTGAGACCATATGCTGGTGCGGTTGGCCCTGGGTTCCTCCTAATGCAAGACAACACTACTGAGCCTCATTTTGACTTGTTTTAAGGACATTACATCAAAGTTGGATCAGCCTGTAGTGTGGTTTTCCACTTTAATTTTGAGGGTGACTCCAAATCCAGAACCTCCATGGGTTGATAAATTTGATTTCCATGGATAATTTTTGTGTGATTTTGTTGTCAGCACATTCAACTATGTAAAGAAAAAACTATTTAATAAGATTATTTCATTCATTCAGATCTAGGATGTGTTGTTTAAGTGTTCCCTTTATTTTTTTGAGCAGTGTGTATATATATATATATATACATACAGTTGAAGTCGGAAGTTTACAGACACTTAGGTTGGAGTCATTAAAACTTGTTTTTCAACCACTCCAAAAATGTCTTGTT